GCTGAAGGTATTTGCATGGCAAATCCTTAGTAGAATTTTACCCACGACGGAGGCTCTCATTGAAAAGGATGTGGAGGTGTTGCCTCGTTGTCCGGTCTGCTGGGCGGCCAAGGAGACCATGGAACACCTTTTCCTTGATTGTCCGGTGGCTAGGGCTCTGTGGTTGCAGGGAGGATTAGATTCTCTTGGGGAGGGGTTGCCTCGCCATACTTTCCCCCTCTTCCTCAAAAGTTTACTAGCTATCTTACGTCAACCTTCGCAGTTTATGGCGGTTATGGCTCTTTTATGGCGAATTTGGAAGTCCCGGAATTGGGTGGTCTTCGATGGAAAGCAATTTACCATTGCGGAATTATTGAGGCAGTATCACCAACAAGTAGGGGAGTGGCTTGGACTGTCTCGGGATCTGCAGGTTCCCTCGGTGCGTCTGCCTAACCTTTCTCCTATAGGGGTAAGTGGTCCTGGGGGTCCTGTGTGTCGTTGGGATGGGGCTGTCCGACGAGGGTCACATTCTGCTGGTGGTATGGTTCTGCTCAATGAGGATGGTTTGCTACTTTGGGTAGCAGGTTTTCAGTTTCGGCATGTGGACGATCCAATGGTGGCTGAACTCCTTACGCTTAGGGAAGCAGTCCGGTGGTGTTTAGAGCATGGGTTTATGGCTGTGCGGTTTGAAGGGGATGCCAAGGTGATTATTGAGAAGATCGTGAGGGCTGAAGTGCGCGATAGGCGGGTAGGGATTATTTTGGAGGAAATGGTTCAAATCTTTAGGGATAATCCGGGTTTTAGTCTGCGGTTTATAGGTCGGGATGATAATAGGGTAGCTCATATGGTAGCTAGACATGCCCTTTCTTTGTCCCCGACTATGGGTCGCTATTTTGATTTCCTGACCTGGCTGGCTTCCAGGGTGTAACTATCGTTATGTTTTCTATCAATATATGATATCTTTTGTCAAAAAAAAAAAAAAAAAAAAAAAAAAAAACAGATCGCGAAATAAGGCCGAGGCTATTCTCCACCGATAATGAAGTCTATTGATTCTTTTCTCCACGAATAAGAAGTCCACTAAGCACCAAATTCAGCCAATTTATTTTCGGATTGCATTTTCGTAATTTATGGGGCGACGAAAGGCCATTTTCTTTGGATTTTGAAGGCTACAATTCACGGATTCGGCCTGAGGTTATTCTTCAACGATGATTCAATCCATTAAGCCCCGATTTGGGCGGATATATTCCGGGTCAATTTATGGCAGATTCCAAAGGGGTACCATCACAGATTTATGGTGATTTTTCTTAAACGCCATTTTCTTTCGATTCTAGAGGCTACAGATCACGGAATCAGACCGAGGCTATTCTACGCTGATATTGAAGCCTATTGAGCATATTCTCCACGGATGATAAGTCCATTAAGCACTAATTTGTGCCAATTTATTTTCCGATGACATTTTCGTAATTTATGGGGCGACGAAAGGCCATTCTCTTTGTATTTTGAACGCTACAAGTCACGGATTCGGCCTGAGGTTATTCTTCAACGATGATTAATTCCATTAAGCACCGATTTGAGCGGATATATTCCGGGTCAATTTATGGCAGATTCCAAAGGTGTACCATCACAGATTTCGGGCGATTTTTCCAAAATGCCATTTTCATTGGATTCTTGAGGATACAGATCACGAAATAAGGACGAGGCTATTCTCCACCGATAATGAAGTCTATTGATTCTTTTCTCCACGAATGATAAGTCCACTAAGCACCGATTTGAGCCAATTTATTTTCGGATGACATTTACGTAATTTAAGGGGCGACGAAAGACCATTTTCTTTGGATTTTGAAGGTTACAGGTCACGAATTCGGCCTGAGGCTATTCTTCAATGATGATTAAATCCATTAAGCACCGATTTGGGCGGGTTTATTCCGGGTCAATTTTTGGCAGATTCCAAAGGGGTAACATCACTAATTTAGGGCGATTTTTCTTAAATGCCATTTTCTTTGGATTATAGAAGCTACAGATCACGGAATCAGACCGAGACTATTCTACGCCAATATTGAAGCCTATGGATCCTATTCTCAATGGATGATAAGTCCATTAAGCCCCGATTAGTGCCAATTTATTTTTGGATGGCATTTTCGTAATTTATGGGGCGACGAAAGATCATTTTCTTTGTATTTTGAAGGCTACAGGTCACGGATTTGGCCTGAGGCTATTCTTCAACGATGATTAAGTCCATTAAGCACCGATTTGGGCGGATATATTCCACATCAATTTTTGGCGATTTCCAAAGGGGTACCAACACATATTTCAGGCGATTTTTCTTAAATGCCATTTTCTTTCGATTCTAGAGGCTACAGATCACGGAATCAGGTCGAGGCTATTCTCCACTGATATTGAAGCCTATTGATCATATTCTCCACGGATGATAAATCCATTAAGCACTAATTTGTGCCAATTTATTTTCGGATGGCATTTTCGTAATTTATGGGGCGACGAAAGGCCATTTTCTTTGGATTTTGAACGCTACAAGTCACGCATTCGGCCTGAATTTATTCTTCAACGATGATTAAGTCCATTAAGCACCGATTTGGGCGGATATATTCCGAGTCAATTTATGGCAGATTCCAAAAGGGTACCATCACAGATTTCGGGCGGTTTTTCCAAAATGCCATTTTCATTGGATTCTTGAGGATACAGATCACGGAATCAGGCCGAGGCTATTCTCCACCGATAATGATGTCTATTGATTCTTTTCTGCACGAATGATAAGTCCACTAAGCACTGATTTGAGCCAATTTATTTTCGGATGGCATTTACGTAATTTTAAGGGACGACGAAAGGCCATTTTCTTTGGATTTTGAAGGTTACAGGTCACGAATTCGGCCTGAGGCTATTCTTCAATGATGATTAAATCCATTAAGCACCGATTTGGGCGGGTTTATTCCGGGTCAATTTTTGGCAGATTTCAAAGGGGTACCATCACAGATTTAGGGCGATTTTTCTTAAATGCCATTTTCTTTCGATTCTAGAGGCTACAGATCACGGAATCAGGCCGAGGCTATTCTACGCCGATATTGAAGCCTATGGATCCTATTCTCAATGGATGATAAGTCAATTAAGCCCCGATTTGTGCAAATTTTTTTTCGGATGACATTTTCGTAATTTATGGGGCGACGAAAGACCATTTTCTTTGTATTTTGAAGGCTACAGGTCACGGATTTGGCCTGAGGCTATTCTTCAACGATGATTAAGTCCATTAAGCACCAATTTGTGCGGATTTATTCCGGGTCAATTTTTGGCAATTTCCAAAGGGGTACCATCACAGATTTCGTGCGATTTTTCTTAAATGCCATTTTCTTTCGATTCTAGAGGCTACAGATCACGGAATCAGGCCGATGCTATTCTCCACCAATATTGAAGCCTATTGATCATATTCTCCACGGATGATAAGTCCATTAAGCACCGATTTGTGCTAATTTATTTTCGGATGGCATTTTCATAATTTATGGTGCGACGAAATGCCATTTTCTTTGGATTTTGAAGGCTACAAGTCACGGATTCGGCCTGAGGTTATTCTTCAATGATGATTCAGTCCATTAAGCACCGATTTGGGCGGATATATTCCGCATCAATTTATGGCAGATTCCAAAGGGGTACCATCACAGATTTCGGGCGATTTTTCTTAAATGCCATTTTCTTTTGATTCTAGAGGCTACAGATCACGGAATCAGGCCGAGGCTATTCTCCACTGATATTGAAGCCTATTGAGCATATTCTCCACGGATGATAAGTCTATTAAGCACTAATTTGTGCCAATTTATTTTCGGATGACATTTTCGTAATTAATGGGGCGACGAAAGGCCATTTTCTTTGGATTTTGAACGCTACAAGTCACGCATTCGGCCTGAGTTTATTCTTCAACGATGATTAAGTCCATTAAGCACCGATTTGGGTGGATATATTTCGAGTCAATTTATGGCAGATTCCAAAGGGGGTACCATCACAGATTTCGTGCGATTTTTCCAAAATGCCATTTTCATTGGATTCTTGAGGATACAGATCACGGAATCTGGCCAAGGCTATTCTCCACCGATAATGAAGTCTATTGATACTTTTCTGCACGAATGATAAGTCCAATAAGCACCGATTTGAGCCAATTTATTTTCGGATGACATTTACGTAATTTAAGGGGCGACGAAAGGCCATTTTCTTTGGATTTTGAAGGTTACAGGTCACGGATTCGGCCTGATGCTATTCTTCAATGATGATTAAATCCATTAAGCACCGATTTGGGCGGGTTTATTCCGGGTCAATTTTTGGCAGATTCCAAAGGGGTACCATCACAGATTTAGGGCGATTTTTCTTAAATGCCATTTTCTTTCGATTCTAGAGGCTACAGATCACGGAATCAGACCGAGGCTATTCTACGCCGATATTGAAGCCTATGGATCCTATTCTCAATGGATGATAAGTCAATTAAGCTCCGATTTGTGCCAATTTATTTTCGGATGGCATTTCGTAATTTATGGGGCGACGAAAGACCATTTTCTTTGTATTTTGAAGGCTACAGGTCACGGATTTGGCCTGAGGCTATTCTTCAACGATGATTAAGTCCATTAAGCACCAATTTGTGCGGAATTATTGCGGGTCATTTTTTGGCAGTTTCCAAAGGGCTGCAGAGAAAGCTGCAGGGCAGGTACGATTAAGATTTTGTTACACTCACAAAGGTTATGTTTGATTGGACATTGAATGCAAAAGAATCTGAAACTAGCAGTATTTTTAAGTCTAATGAGGAGTAGGTTTGTCTTATGCGAACTCGTTCTATACAGTTGTATTTTTCGGCTTGTTTTTGTAGAAAGGGCAGGTGTAGCTGTAATGTTTTCCTGTGACATTGCTCCACTCATTACAAAATTACAGAGTAAAATTAATGAAGGTTCTTTTTCAGTTTTTCCTGAATTAATGTTTCATCTGTTGCTGAAATCCAATGCTTAAGCATGTTGGGCTGTAGATGGTTAAGGATAAAATAAAGTTGCATTACCCTGTCCATTTGCTGTGTGAATGATGATAATCAATCATAACATCTGCTGGTGGTATTATGTTGTGGTTTTCTTTAAGGTAAAAACCTAAGCCAGCCAATCGTATTGAAAATTTCCAGACTCCATTAGTATTATGAACGAGCAGTTATTGTTAGGAACTTGGTAGCCTTTCAAGTCTTATACCTTAGGTACCTTTCATACTGAAAGTTGAGTCATTCATACCGTTTTATGTTCGTTAATTGCTTTGAAGATGCTAAATATGCAATAAGTTCTGTTTTCTTCGTTTGAGGGGTTCTTCATTGGCAGCATTGATACGTTATTGCAGTATGTGCATTATGGATTAGTTTCTTTCTCTCGTGGTGGATACATGATTATCCCATTCTTGAAAAACTCTGAAGATGATAACCCTATTTCACCCATGTAATGTTGGTGTTTGCTTCCAAGTCATGCCTGCATGATTGGGACGTGGTTCGTGGATCATTTCTCAAATGTTGGTTGATATTTATAGGCATATTTTATAACCAACATGGAGCCTATCAAGTTTTGGGAGTTCACTGGAAATGTTTGTGCAGGTCTTGGTTATGAGAGGTACTTATATTTGAACATTAAATTTTTAACTACTACTTTGTGTTAGAATTGATCGAAATACTTCTCATTGATAGCTTGTTACACGTTTGCAACCTCTGACTTAGAAAAGTGATTTGCGTGACCTCTCTTGGTCCATTGTCAGTTAAAGCGCTCTTTTGTTCCACAATGGTTTGCAAACACTGGCATTCAGTATCTATAAATAAGTATTCTGCTCACTATGCAGTGAACTAGCTCTGAATATCTGCTCTATTCTATTTCTTTTTAACTTGATTTGATGTACTTTGCAGGCCAAGGATCAAGGTTCCTGCTGTTGCTGTATTGCCAGTTGCTCATGCAATTCAGTGGGCATATAATCTACTCGGCACATATGGGATGAAGCTCCCAGTGCTGATTCCTTCAAGAATTAGGCTTCTTTCTGGCAACCGATCATTTAGTTGTGCAAAGGCTCATGAACGTCTTGGCTATACACCAATTGTATCACTCGAGGTTTGGCAACATTCTGCTGTGATTCAATTTCTTTATTTAGTGCAAACAAGGGCTTGGTCCAGTGTTATTGTCATTGGTCTTGAACCTGGAAGTCTCATGTTCGAGTCCCTTCAGTAGCACCTAATTAAAAAAACTAACATATATCATCCTTATAAAAAGAATTCTCTATTCAGTGATGTTATGCATTGTTTTGTGAATAAAGGAAATTATCCTTGTACAACTTCCACAAAAGTTGGATAGTATAAAATTACGAAGTTCAATCACCTCCAGATGTCCTAACTTATTACTGTGAAATTGTTAAATATCTCTTCAACGTAAATAAGTGTCCGTCAAACTGTTTTTCCATGCAAACCCAGTCTTGGTATACGGAGCTTGGTCTCATTTAATCCGCATGGTGAAATAATAAGTCTGTTTTTCACATTTCCTCTCTTGGGTCAGACTAATTGTGCTTTAATGTCTTTGTATAACTGGTCTCCGAGCTTATAATTACCCTGTTTATTTGCTGTGCCAGCTAATAATATATATTAACAGCTACAAGTGGAGGCACATAAATAAGAAACAACTTATACAGCAGTACCTGTGCAGTTGAGTTTATCTTTTTTGATTGCAGGATGGTTTGAAAAGGACTATTGAGTCATTTTCACATCTTAATGCTGAGAATCAACCTAAAAGAGATGGGCCATCTAAGGCTTCATTATATCTTGGAAATGGAAGAGGTATGATTGTTAAATTATTTGCTATAATTGTTAGAGTGTGTCTTTCACGTTGTGCCAAGAGGGAGAAACAAATGTGCAGACTGGGTCATGAAATCCAGAGCTAATTGGACCTTCCTAATTATTGAATTCATATCTAGATCTCTTTTACCACCTGATGTAATATACTTAGCTTGTACTTCAACCGCAGTTACAAATGTGATGGAAACCCGACTAGTGGTGCCGGAGCCCTTTTGTTTTTTTTACTATTATTATTTTGTTGAGTTATTTTTCAGAACAACTATTTAAGGATTAAGACATTGTTATTTTAGATGATGAAAGAACAATATTGAATATGTAATTTCTCAACTCTCCTTCTCTTCTCTTCCTTCCGCTTCTTCCCCCAAATTCCCTTATCAATTCTGCCTCAATTGCTAATTTCTCTTCTCAATCCCTAATACCTGTCATTGCAATTATCATTTGCAGTTGCTGACACACTACTTTGGAAGGATACCAAGAAGACACTCATCGTGTTGCTAGTTCTAATGGGGATTTACTACAGTTTCATTTCGTCTAATTCTACCATTATTACTGCGACTTCAAAGCTTCTCTTGATGGCAGCAATTTTTCTATTCGTCCACGGCAGATTACCTGAGAAAATGTATGTCCCTTATCTCTTCCTTTCAGTTCAGTCCTATGTTGATTTTCGTGCGACTATAAGTGTGCAGTTGCCATTGATTTGATGTCTTTGGATGGGTATCGCTGGATGCACAACCCATTTGCTTCTTACTGCCTTAAAGTCTAGAACAAGCAGCTTTGAGTTTGACCAACAGAAAAGTATGATTTGTGTTTGTATTATACTCCAATCTCTTGATGTAAATTTGGAAGGGAGACTATTCTTCATCTAGATTAAATGCAGCGCTAACTAATATAAAGCCACATTGAATAATGTATGAGCTTTTGGATCTGTATGTTTTGTCAGTAAGAGCCTTAAGGTGCTCAGAAGTATAAATATTGGATGTGAGAACCATCATAGAAGCTTTCAGTGTTGTTTAATTAAGAGAACTGGACTATTATAGTGTGCTAGTGACACATTTGATTCATATGCTCAGATTTGGGTATAAAATCGAAAAGATCCATCCGTCTGATTTTTACTGGACTGAGAAGAAGTCTTACCAAGTTGCTCATGTATTAGCTTCGTTCTGGAATGTCGGGATCAACATTCTAGAATCTCTTTGCAAAGGGAAGGACTGGTTGGTTTTCCTCAAGGTACTTAAATGTTTACGAGATGTTTACATTCTGTGTAAAATGTTTAGTAAGTGATGTACATAAAGTGGTATAGTACGAATAAGAGTCTTTACTAGTGGTTGTTTAAGTTATTCAAACGAGTGAACACTTTGTTTTAACTAGCTTGTGTAAAATGCTCTTACGTTGGAACAGGTTGTCTTGTCGCTGTTGATCATTGGCTTCATAGGGACCATTTCCCTTCACTCATTGTTTGTAATGGGTACTCTCTTTTTTTTACCAAATCTTATACTTGGCCTTCTGATCAGTAATTAATTAAGTTGCTAATCGCCATGTCACGTGATTATCATAACTGCAGGAGTTCCCACAACTTTTTTAGGGTTCTACTTGTACGAATGGAACGAAGAAGCGCTTGATGGTTTGGTGTCGGATGCTCTCTCTTACGGATATAAATTGAAATCTCAAATCATCCACAAAGTAACTGGTCCAAAACTTGACTAACAATGAAGGCTCATTAGATAAACTATGCAGTTTCTTCTTTGTGCCCCTCCCTTGGTTGACAGTTTTGTAAAGGTCACGGAAACATACATGGTCAGCTGGGATACTTCTGTTTGTATCGAGTGTTACACTAACAGCGTAATGCAATCTGTTTTTTGATTTTATTTGGCTACTATAACTTGATCATTTAAACTTATAGTATTAGGCATATCATTTGCCAGTCACCATGGGACGGGCTAGCATGCTAACCCCTTAAGGGGTTGGTTTTTTGACACCCCCTTTTAATTGGTCAATTTTTCATTAATTATTGACAAGTATTAATGAAAGTAAATATAATAAATGTTATGTTATTAAATACAAAGTAAGCATTAAATATACCACATTAATTACCACTTTACTGGTATTTGTACCACTGCACTGATACTCAGATATGACATTGCTACCAGTGCACTGATATCGCTACTAGTGCAGTGGTACATCTACCAGTACAGTGGTACAACGTATCAGTGCATTGGTATATCTACCAGTACAGTGGTACAACGTATCAGTGCAGTGGTATATCTACCAGTACAGTGGTACATCGTATCAGTATAGTGGTATATTTTTTGGAGGTGGTCGGAGGGAGTCTGCCGATGGGATTTTCACCGGAGAAGTGTGGCGGTCGAAGGAAGTCTGGTAGTCGAAGACTGCTTAAAAAGGAAAAATCAAATATAGTGAGAGAATTCCTAATGTGTATTTAATGTGTGTATTTAATTCCTAATGTGTATTTAATAGTGAGAGAATTCCTAATTAATATGGTACATTTAATTCCTAATGTGTATTTAATGTGTGTATTAATTATTGTGTATTAATTATAGTTGTATTTAATATACTAGGAGGGTGTCATTTTTCCAACCCCTAAGGGGGTTAGCATGCTAACCGACCCCAGTCACCATTCATCTCTATACTAGTTGGCATCATCGTCTTTGTCCTTGCCTATTTTGGAAGTAACACGTTTGGTATAATTATCATTCAAAATGAAAGGTTAATTACAACACATCAATCTTGTTGGGAGTTGAACTCGGGAGTTGATTTTTTTTTCCCCGTTGAATTGGTAGTTGATATTTGACGTCCTATGAATTTAAAAATTTCGTTCTAAATTTGGAAAATGTACACCTTTGGCACTGAAATTAATTTATTCCATCCGTAGTCATTCAAATTAGTACAACAGTTCAAGTTTGGTCACTCTTCGTTAGTCTCTGTTAACTTTGAGCTGACGTGGCAGTCAACTCTGAGAGTTGATCATTAAATACGTGACGTGATAATTAAAAAATAATAAAATTTAATCTTTTAAAAATTCCACATAATTATATGATTATCACAATAAATTGAAAAATAATAAATAATAATAATAATTGCAATAACAAAAAATGAAAAATTGGAAAAAAAAAAATTCATTCTCACATCCTATTTAACGAGGGTGCTTTAAATTGTGGAAGCTATGGATGTGGGTGGGCTCGTGGCACGCACATCCTAATTATCCTCCATGTGCCGACAAACCTTTTCGGACCTTCCTACACACACAACTTCACATCTCCGCCGTAGTGCTCAGGCTGTCTCAGGTGACGATGTCCTGTCCGACCTCATTCAAATCTCCCTCTCTTCTTCAACCCGCATCCCAATTTCTTTCCACTGCAATTTGGTCTCCCTTTCAGAAACCCACAACTTTCCCTCCCATCATCCGGTCTCAAATTTCATTGTGCAGAGCCAAAAACCCCAACCCTCACAGCTGCTCCGCCGTCTCCGGCAGCTCACCCGTAGAACCATCTCCGTTGCCGTCGACCATCGTTTTCCTAAACTGAAACGGAAGGACAAGTTTGGGATTGATTTTCCAATTTTCCAATTTTTATTGCAATTATTATTATTTTTTAATTTATCGTGTTAATGAGGTGGAATGTTTAAAAGATTATTTTTTTATTTTTAATTTCCACGTCACTTATTTAACGGTTAACTCTTAGAGTTGACTGCCACGTCAGCTAAAGTTAACGGAGACTAACAGAGAGTGACCAAACTTGAACTGCTGAACTAATTTGAGTGACTATGGATGAAATAGAATAAATGAATGAGGCAATGTAGAATGATTCTAGTGGAGCCGTTTAGTAGAACCTTGTTCTTCTCTAAGAACACTACCAAAGCTACTAGGATTGAGGTGTGCTCTAGACTTGGTATTCAGGAAACCTATGACCTTGGGAGATACCTGGGGATGCCAGTGATCCATGGCAGAATGACCAGGAATACTTACAGGTTTGTTTTAGAAAAGATGGATGGCAAACTTACAGCATCGAAAGCCAAACGCTATCACTTGCTGGTAGAGTTACACTAGCCTTGGCTGTCCTGAATGCCATTCCTAACTTTGCTATGCAAACTTCCCCCCTTCCTCTCTCTGTCTGTGATAAAATTGACAAAAAGATTAGGAGGTTTGTTTGGGGAGAGCAGGAGGGTAAAAGAAAGACCCACCTGGTCTCTTGGAACACTATTTGTAAGCCTAAGAGCCAAGGTGGTCTGGGCCTCAGATCTGCCAGAAACTTGAACATGGCATACATGATCAAGTTGGCTTGGCAGATACTTAACAACGATTCTGAGCTTTGGGTGCAGGTCCTACAAGGGAAGTATTTTAAGCATAAAGATGGTGCCATTACCTCTATGAAGAAGAGTAATCATTCAAACTTGTGGAAGGCGATTGTCAAAGCAATGCCTCTGATGAAAAGTGGCTGTTGCTGGAGCATCAGGAATGGGGAGTCTACAAGTTTTTGGTCTCATCCATGGATTGACTGTGATCTCAAACTTGAAGATTTCCTCCTTGGCGACCTGACACCCACTGAAAGGAACTCACCAGTGGCAGCATGGGCTACTGAAGAAGGTGAGTGGGACTGGAACCGACTCAAACCACTCCTCCCTGATGACATTCTTAATCTGATTGCAGGCATAGAAGTTCCGAATGCACATCTTGGCGAGGACAAAACCATATGGGCAATGGAACGTGATGGGAGGTTTAGACTCAAATCGGCCTATGCACTTGCTGCAGGGTTGGATGAGGCTGATGATGATCAAAGCTGGACTAAACTATGGAAATGGAAGGGACCAAACATAGTTAAGCATTTTTTGTGGCAGGTGATGCACGATCGCTTAATGACTAACAAGCATTTTTTGTCACTGTTATTCTTTGGTACACATTCATTCGATGTGTACGAAGTCGGTCTTAGACACTGGCTCTTTCATGATGTAATGGGGATTTCCCAGGACCGTTTTATTACAATAATGAATTAGACGCACTAGCGTCAATCTTTCTACAAAAAAAAAAAAAAATTCATTTTTTCACCAAATAGGCTCGTGGGCTCACGAAAAGTTCGGTTTAAAGTGAAATATCTTATTGTACCGATGGTCAATGAGTGGAAGGGAGGTTGCGTTGGAATCATATGACCGGGAGGAACGCCATAGAGTTGGAATTTGCATGAAAAAGGTCTCTAAAGAAATTTTATTTTTTCACCAAATAGGCTTGTGGGCTCACGAAAAAGTTCGGTTTAAAGTGAAATATCTCATTGTAACGGTGTTCAATGACTCGAAGGGAGGTTGCGTTGGAATCGTGTGACGGAGAGGAACGCCATAGTGTTGGAATTTGCAAGAAAAAAGGTCTCTAAAGAAATTTCATTTTTTTTCCATCAAATAGGCTTGTGGGCTCACGAAAAGTTCGATTTAAAAGGAAATTTCTCATTGCACCGATGGCCAATGAGGGGAAGGGAGGTTGCGTTGGAATCGTGTGACCGAGAGGAACGCCATAGAGTTTAAATTTGCAAGAAAAAAGCTCTTAAAAGAAATTTCATTTTTTCATCAAATAGCCTTGTGGGTCACGAACAGTTCGGTTTAAAGTGAAATATCTCATTGCATCGGTGGCCAATGAGTGGAAGGGAGGTTGCGTTGGAATCATATGACCGAGAGGAACGTCATAGAGTTGGAATTTGAAAGAAAAATGCTCTTAAAAGAAATTTCATTTTTCATCAAATAACCTTGTGGGTCACGAACAGTTCGGTTTAAAGTGAAATATCTCATTGCACCGGTGGCCAATGAGTGGAAGGGAGGTTGCGTTGGAATCATATGACCGAGAGGAACGTCATAGAGTTGGAATTTGCAAGAAAAAAGGTATCTAAAGAAATTTCAATTTTTCAACAAATAGGCTTGCGGGCTCACGGAAAGTTCGGTTTAAAGTGCAATTTCTCATTGCACAGATGGCCAATGAGGGGAAGGGAGGTTGCGTTGGAATCGTATGACCAAGAAAAACGCCATAGAGTTGAAATTTGAAAGAAAAAGGTCTCTAAAGATATTTCATTTTTTCACCAAATAGGCTTGTGGGCTCACGAAAAGTTCGGTTTAAAGTGCAATTTCTCATTGCACCGATGGCCAATGAGTGGAAGGGAGGTTGCGTTGGAATCATATGACCGAGAGGAACACAATAGAGTTGGAATTTGAAGGTAAATGGTCTCTAAAAAAATTTCATTTTTCACCAAATAGGCTTGTGGGCTCACGAAAAGTTCGGTTTAGAGTGAAATATCTCATTGCACCGATGATCAATGAGTGGAAGGGAGGTTGCGTTGGAATCAAATGACCGAGAGGAACGCCATAGAGTTGGAATTTGCAAGAAAAATGGTCTCTAAAGAAATTTCGTTTTTTCACCAAATAGGCTAGTGGGCTAACGAAAATTTCGGTTTAAAGTGCAATTTCTCATTGCACCGATGGCCAATGAGGGGAAGGGAGGTTGAGTTGGAATAGTGTGACCTAGAAGAACGCCACATAGTTGGAATTTTTAAGAAAAAAGCTCTTATAAGAAATTTCATTTTTCATCAAATAGCCTTGTGGGTCTCGAATAGTTCGGTTTAAAGTGAAATATCTCATTGCACCGATGGCCAATGAGTGGAAGGGAGGTTGAGTAAAAATCGTATGACCGAGAGGAACACCATAGAGTTGGAATTTTCCAGAAAAAATGTCTCTAAAGAAATTTCATTTTTTCATCAAATAGGCTTGTGGGTCACGAAAAGTTCGGCTTAAAGTGCAGTATCTCATTGCACCGATGGCCAATGAGTGGAAGGGAGGTTGCGTTGGAATCGTATGACCGAGAGGAACGCCATATAGTTGGAATTTGCAAGAAAAAAGGTCTCTAAAGAAATTTCATTTTTTCACCAAATAGGCTTGTGGGCTCACGAAAAGTTCGGTTTAAAGTGCAATTTCTCATTGCACCGATGGCCAATGAGGGGAAGGGA